CTTTGTTTTATTATTATTATTCTTTTAATTATTATTATTATTATTATTATTATTAGTCGTTGTATCAGTGAATACTGATATCTGTAACAATTAGTATTTTTCTTGCCAGAAAGTAAAACATTATACTATTTTTAAACTGTTATTCAAAAGTAATTATAATCTATGAATTATAAATGTAAATTACAATTTAAAGACAACATTCAGGAGTAACTGGTAAAAAACGCTATTAAAATAAATTTTAATAAAAATTCTCAGCTTCATAAATTGTATACCTGAAATATTAATGCCTTCCATATATTTCGAAATTAAAATTAGTCGCTTAGAATAAAATGTACTGACAGTGTCATCACCATCATCGCTGCCGTTTCGTTATTTTATTTTTATAATCTGCTTAAACGGTTTAACACAAAAATATACTATGTGTGTGTGTGTGTGTGTGTTTGTGTGTGTGTGTGTGTGTGTGTGTGTTTGTGTGTGTGTGTGTGTGTGTGTGTGTGTGTGTGTGTGAGAGAGAGAGAGAGAGAGAGAGTATTTCTGTGTCTGTGTGTGTGTTTAAATAAGTTTCCTGAGGTACACTAAGATAAGATAATTTTAAAGACATGAGTAATAATTTATTTCTAAAATAAGATACAATAGTGTCACCGAATATAGTAAAAAGTACTTTACATTTCGATTCGACACATCTTTATCGAAAGGTACGTTAAGTTATTATTCTATTCGGTGTGATACTATCTGATCTTATTTTAGAAATAAATTATGACGCCTGTCTTAAAAATTATATATATATACATACATACATACATATATATATATATATATATATATATATATATATATATATATATATATATATATATATATATATATATATATATATATATATATATATATATATATATATATAAATTAACTGATTTAAAATATTTTTTTTTTTCGCTATACAGTTCTAACCATGTTTCAAAAAATGGAAGCTAAAGCTTTCGAATTTAATTTTGTAATTTTATAATATTAATGCTCTGTAAGCACTATTTTGTAAAAATAAAATATCTATAAGAACACCGGATTATATATCTTACCGTTCTTTCTTTATATATATATATATATATATATATATATATATATATATATATATATATATATATATATAGTGTATTGAGAGATCATTAGCCGTTTTAATGTTCGTATGTTTGCTTTAATTAATTTATTTAAGCTGGTCCTTGATCTAATCTTTCGGCTCACACGAGCCAACTTCGGAGTTGTTATACGAACATTTAAACATGTGGGCAGAAAGCTTAGATCAAGACCCAACTTAATAAAAAATATCCAAATGTTGAACAATTTTTGTCTTTATTTTAACCCGAAATTAAAGCAACCATACGAATTTTAGAAAGACTTCTCATGAAACATAATAGAAATTTATTCTCTGTTATATTTAACAATCTATGTTTAAATATATACGCGCGCGCGCGCGTGTGTGTGTGTGTGATGAAAATGTAGTTTTAAAGCATGCTATATTTCTGGGTAAATGTGCTCAATGGATAGGAGGTATGTAAATATAAAAATGGACACCGAGATCAACACCAAGCGGCGACAGTCTGTTTCATGCTTGACCGAAATTGGGGCGGCCATGTTTATTTATATGCACTATCCTTAAACTTTGTCATTATTCTGATGAAGTTCTATCCTGTAACAATAAAACATAAACGAAGGTTTAAAAGATGCAGCAATATATTTTTAAACATTTCTAAAATGCGGGCTCTCTCTCTCTCTCTCTCTCTCTCTCTCTCTCTCTCTCTCTCTCTCTCTACATACATATATATATATATATATATATATACATATACATACATACATACATACATATATATATATATATATATATATATTTATTAAAGACATTTTTATGTTTAACGTTGTTATTTATAGATACAAGTATTTAAGCAAATGCTCTGTTTTATGATAAACAGTATTATCCATTGTCCATTTCTTAATATATGACGTCATTTGTTTACATTCGATACGCCAGAGCAGTTATGAATGTACGAGATTCATGGAAGATTGGAGTTTATAAGCAGTAAATTCGACCTTGTCTACCGAAAGGTTCTTTGTGGCCAAGACGGTTAAGGCACGTCAGCGTATATGACGGTTCCGTATAGGATGCAGGTTCGAATCCTGTCAAAGAACGAATATTTTCTATGAAAATTTCTCGGACATTCAGGCCGGTAAATGTTATTTACTGTTTCTCATAAATACTTGTATCTATAAATAACAACGTTAAACATAAAAATGTCTTTAATAAATAAATTGTCGGACCTTGTCCATTTCTTATATATATATATATATATATATATATATATATATAAAGTTGCTTCCTCTGCAGCTAAATAATATGGCACGTTTGGCTATATGACAGTGCCGTGTAGGATTCCTGTCGGGGGAGACATATTTTCTATGAAATTTCTCGGACATTCAGGCCGATAAATGTTGTTAATACTGTTTATTATTAACAGAGCATTTATTTAAATATTTGTATCTATAAAAAAGAAAGTATCAATAAAAAATATTATAACAAGTGTTGTCCATTTCATGATATATGACGTCATTTGTTTCGGTTAAGGTACACTTCGAGCAGATATGAGCGTTCATGTGAAATTTGCAGTTCAAATGCAGTAACTGGACCTTCATGACTGTATATATATATATATATATATACACACACACACACATGCACACAAACACACACACATACAGAAGAGTCGAGAAGTGCAGTAACTGGACCTTCTTGACTGTATATATATATATATATATACACACACACACACAAACACACACACATACATACAGAAGAGTCGAGAAGAGACGGAAAAGTCGAGAATTATTTATTAATTTAATTATTAAGTAATACTAATTATTAATTTAATTCTTAAATAATACACAAAAAATGCGAACTCATTTAATTAGATAATTAAATGAGTTCGCATTTTTTGTGTATTATTTAAGAATTAAATAAGTTAAATTAATTTAAAAATAAAACAAAATAAATATAAAATAAAGAAAGAAAATAATCAACACATTTATATTACATTAAATATTCAATAATAATATTTAAATGATTTTTTTTGTAATATACAATAGCTCGGTATATTTAAGCAATTTAAAAATCAAGTAATTTAAAATAAACATGAAGGCCCAGTTCAATATCTACGCCTTGAAAACTAACACCAGTCTCTGATATCGTGGGAAAATATAATAATACACCTGGATAGATAGATAGATAATTAGCAGGCTACTCGTATTCGTGGATATCCGTCTACTAGTGAGCTAGCCAATCCCTATTGCAGACACTCGCTCAGGCATATTCGTGTTTGCTCAACACTCACAGGGCCCATCTGTGGTTTATACTGAAACTATGCTGTATTCTGGGAGAGAGGTGTTATCTAGCGTGATCAACAATTTGAACAGGACCAGCACACTCAAGCCGTCGGTCACGATGACTTGTAACTTCATGCTAGCACATGGGATCTTCTATAGCACAGGTATAAAAGGTCCCCAATGGTTCCGTCGACGTAATTTCACTCACAGGGCTTGGGTCAACCCGTGGCATGGTTTTCAGGTACTTTCCAAAGGTGTCGCACGCCGAGATCGACCCCTCCAGTTTGATAACATCAGGAAGTCTCCTTTCTGACAATTCGACCGGGGTGAGATTCGAACCAGGGCCTCATGGTCAGAATGCGAACGTTCTAACCACTCGGCCAGATAGATAGATAGATAGATAGATAGATAGATAGATAGATAGATAGATGATAGATAGATAGATATGAACAGAATGAGATAGATAGATAGATAGATAGATAGATAGATAGATAGATAGATAGATAGATAGAGGAAGATGTGAATAGAATGAACAGATAGATAGATAGATAGATAGATAGATAGATAGATAGATAGATAGATAGATAGATGCTGATTGCGACTTCTTGTCAGACGATTGCCACTCCTACATTGATTGACCGTCCGTAAACCCGCCAATGATTTTCAGTCCTGCCATTGACTGGCACACTTTGGAACAAATTTGGCATTCATGAACATTGGAGCAAGTTGAAACGACAGACACGGTGTTGGTATCACTCTGAACACCAGCTGATCGGCAAACTATAGACCAGTGGGAGCATGAAAATTTTCCATCTTGGGATTCATTGCACAGCATGGGAGGGATAACAAGTGTAGTTGGATCGCTTTCATGCGATTTTATGCGATTAAGCAAGCCTGGCACCAGTGTCCGGTCACACACCTCACAGATCCACACAGATCCACAATTGGCCGGCAGAGCTTCCCGTTTTCCGCATGCTCTCTTGAGCTTTGCTCGGTCTGCTCTGTCTGCTTTATATAGTTCAGCACCCTTGAAATCACATCCCTCCACTGTCCACGATGAGATGCTAGGGATTCCTAATCAACAACGGAACACCAAAATACGTTAAACTCTCCTTGTCACTCTCGAAAAAAACATTTTTGGTGGGTGGTGTGTCTAGGGTCTCTTATCAGAAAGAAGCTCACCATAAAAACAGCTGTTTTGGAAGTTTGGGGTCATCAAGTCGAACAAGATGACCGGCCCAACGTATCTGGTTCTTAACATTTTTAGCAATGCTGACTGTTTTGACTTTGGTCAAGACACCTGTGTCCGGAACAAGACTGTCCCACTTCAAACCAAGTATATGTCTGAGACAGTGCTGATGGAATCTTTCAAGCTGTTTTATATGAGAATTATACAAGGTCCAGGTTTCAGAGGCACAGAGTAAGATTGATAACACACGTTTGATACACAGACATTTTAGTTGCCAGTGTTAAATCACCATCCGACCAGACTCTATCTTCTAGCTTACCAAAGGACCCAGAGGCCTTGCTTATTTTCTGTTTGATTTCTGCATCAAGGAAGCCATCATTAGATAATGTCTACCAAGGTAGACATAATCTTTTGATTATATGATTAATCTTATAATCTTATGTCTATCAAGGTAGACATGATCTCTGACAACTTCAAGGCGCTTCCCATAGACGTCAGGTTCCACGTAAAGATCGCCAGAAGCGGGAGTGTAACTGACCTTGGTTTTCTTAATGCTGATTGTCAGTCCAAATCAGGTACAAGCATTAGTAAAGCGGTCCATCATTGACTGCATTTCTTCAGGAAAGTCTGCAACTAAGTCGGCATCGTCGGCATATAGAAGCTCCCTAACAAATCCGTCATCAACAAGGGTTCTGGCTCGGAATTTTCTCATGTTAAAAACTTTTCTACTTTTTCGGAATCTGATATAGACACCTGTATCACAGTAATGGAAGACATAACAGAGTACAGCCGTCAAGTGAAGTGGGAACAATGTTTGTGCAGTTATATCACCCTGCTTTACTCCATTATCGATGCGAAGTTCCTCCGAGAGCTGACCATTGAAATTGACACGACCTTTCATACAGCGATGTAGTTGCTTAAATTTTTCAATAAAACCAGGTGTGCAGCCAAATTTTGCGAGCACCTTCCAGAGAGCCTCACGGTTCATTGTGTCCAAAGCTTTAGTCAGGTCAACAAAAACCTGACAAAGTGGCACAGGCTGTTCAATACATTTTTCTACAATATGTTTAGCAGATAATATCATGTCTACAGTCCCTCGTCCGCCTCTAAAACCAGATTGGGATTCAGAAAGGACATCAAGAAAATATACCACGTTGAAATACCACGGTAATTACTACAATCTGACATCGCTTGATAATGGAACGGAACTTTACATTTTAAGTTTGATTTGTATGTTTGAATTTAAATTGAGGTTTCACTTTTAAAACAAGGGAATTTCAGTGTTGCGATGATCATATGTTAAAAAAAAAACGTTTATATATATATATATATATATATATATATATATATATATATATATAAAAAATGCCGTAAGAATTTTTGCCGTTAACAATAAAAATTTTTTTCAAAATCCAGATTTCATCGAAAAATACATCCCTACCCCCTACCAAAACGTAACTAATAACTGATACATCAAAATACAGCGATAATGAACACGCAAACACCCTTTGTCTGGATGAATGGATTTCTCTGTATCCTTGGAAAAGTGAATTATGATTTTTTGCTGTGCCTTTAAAGCCCAGTAATTTGAAAAATAAGTTACTCCAAATTCGCTTGAAGATGAAATGGAACTAATGTCTTTAATTTAATTACAAAATTAAATTCGAAGCTTTCAGCTTCCATTTTTGAAACATGGTTAGAACTGTGTAGCGAAAAAAAAACAGATTTTAAATCAATTAATTTATAATATTAATGCTCTGTAAATTTACATTGAGCACTATTTTATAAAAATAAAAATATCTATAAGAACACCAGATTATATATCTTACTGTTCTTTCTTTTTTTATATATATATATATATATATATATATATATATATATATGTGTGTGTGTATGTCTGTATATATATATATATATATATATATATATATATATATATATATATATATATATACTTTTATTTTCATGCATCTTGGATTACATTCTTATTTTTCTAACTTTTCTATACTTATTGAGTTATTTTCTTAAAATTTCATCTGTGTGTAATTATGCATCTTCGGTTACATTCTTACACTTCGTTCCTTTTTACCTTCATAATTCTTGCGCCATTTTCTTAAATTATTTGCATTCTATCTTCATACAACATTGCTTAATGTCTTACATTTTTTTACATTTCTGTCTTCATAAATATTGGTTTAATTTCTTACTTTTTCTACTTTTTGGACATTATACTTCATGATTCATTTTCTTACATTTTATTCCTCTAAGTCTTCATACTTCTTTCTATATTTATAATTCTTGAGTTATTTTCTTACCTTTCTTCCATTCTGCCTTTATAATTCTTCAGTTATTTTTTCACCTTTTCTTTCATTTTCCTTTATCATTCTTGATGTACTTTCTAAACATTCCTTCCATTCTGCATTTATAATTCTTGAATTACTTTCTTACCTTTCCTTCCATTCTACATTTATAATTCTTCAGTTATTTTCTCAACTTTTCTTCCATTCTGCTTTTATAATTCTTGAGTTAATTTCTTACATTTACTTCCATTCTACATTTATAAATCTACAGTTATTTTCTTACCATTTCTTCTATTCTGCCTTTATAATTCTTCAGTTATTTTCTCACCTTTTCTTTCATTTTCCTATATCATTCTTGATATACTTTCTAAACATACTTCCATTCTGCCTTTATCATTCTTGATATACTTTTTAAAAATACTTCCATTCTGCCTTAATAATTCTTCAGTTATTTTCTTACCTTTTCTTCCATTCTGCCTTTATACATCTTCGGATATTTTCTCACCTTTTCTTTCATTTTCCTTTATGATTCTTGATATATTTTCCAGCTTTCCTTCCATTCTGCATTTATAATTCTTGAGTTAATTTCTTACCTTTTCTTCAATTCTACTTTTATAATTCTTCAGTTATTTTCTTACATATTCTTCCATTCTGCCCTTATAATTCTTCAGTTATTTTCTCACCTTTTCTTTCATTTTGCCTTTTTGTAATTCTTGATACACTTTCTAACTTTTCTTCAATTCTGCCTTTATAATTCTTCAGCTATTTTCTTACATAATCTTCCATTCTGCCCTTATAATTCTTCAGTTATTTTCTCACCTTTTCTTTCATTTTGCCTTTGTATTTCTGGATATACTTTCTGACCTTTCCTTCCATTCTGTCTTTATAATTCTTGAGTTAATTTCTTACCTTTTCTTCAATTCTACTTTTATAATTCTTCAGTTATTTTCTTACATTTTCTTCCATTCTGACCTAATAATTCTTCAGTTATTTTCTCACCGTTTCTTTCATTTTGCCTTGGTAATTCATGATATACTTTCTAAACATTCCTTCGATTCTGTCTTTATAATTCTTGAGTTAATTTCTTACCTTTTCTTCCATTATGCTTTTATAATTCTTCAGTTATTTTCTCACCTTTTCTTTCATTTTGGCTTTATAATTCTTGATATATTTTCTAACCTTTACTTCCATTATGCCTATATAATTTTCAGTAATTTTCTTAACTTTCTTCCATTCTACCTATAATTCTTCAGTTATTTTCTCACCTTTTCTTTCATTTTGCCTTTATAATTCTTGATATACTTTCCAATCTTTACTACCATTCTACCTTTATAATTCATCAGTAATTTTCCTACCTTTCTTCCATTCTGCCCTTATAATTCTTCAGATATTTTCTTACCTTTCTTCAATTCTGCCTTTATAATTCTTCAGTTATTTTCTAAACTTTTCTTTCATTTTGCCTTCATAATGCTTGATATTCATTCTAACTGTTTCTTCCATTCTGCCTTTATAATTCTTGAGTTATTTTCTTAACTCGTTTTCTATTCTGCCCTTATAATTCTTCAGTTATTTTTTTACCATTCTGCCTTTATAATTCTTCAGTTATTTTCTCACCTTTTCTTTCATTTTGCCTTTGTAATTTTTTATATATCTTCTTACCTTTTCTTCCATTCTATCTTTATAATTCTTCAGTTATTTTCTTACCTTTTCTTTCATTCTGCCTTCATAATTCTTCAGTTAATTTCTTACCTTATCTTCCATTCTGCCTTTATATATCTTGTGTCATTTTTTACCTTTCTTCCATTCTACCTTTATAATTCTTCTGTAATTTTCTTACCTTTTCTTCCATTCTACCTTTATAATTCTTGAGTTATTTTCTTACCTTTTCTTCCATTCTACCTTTATAATTCTTCTGTAATTTTCTTACCTTTTCTTCCATTCTGCCTTTGTAATTCTTGAGATATTTTTTTCCCATTCTTCCATCTACCTTTATAATTCTTCAGTTATTTTCTTACTATTTCTTCCATTTTTATAATTCTTCAGTTATTATCTTAATATTCTTCCATTCTATGTTTATAATTCTTGAGTTATTTTCTTACATTTCTGACATTCTGCCTTCATAATTCTTCAGTTATATTCTTACCATTCCTCCTTTCTGCCTTTATAATTCTTCAGTTAATTTCTTACCTTTTCTTCCATGCTGCCTTTATATATCTTGTGTTTTTTTTACCTTTCTTCTATTCTACCTTTATAATTCTTGAGTTATTTTCTTACCTTTTCTTCCATTATGCCTTTATAATTCTTGAGTTATTTTCTCACCTTTTCTTCCATCCTGCCTTTGTAATTCTTGAGTTATTTTTTCCCTTTCTTCCATTCTACCTTTATAATTCTTCAGTTATTTTCTCACCATTTCTTCCATCCTGCCTTTGTAATTCTTGAGTTATTTTTTCCCTTTCTTCCATTCTACCTTTATAATTCTTCAGTTATTTTCTCACCTTTTCTTTCATCCTGCCTTTGTAATTCTTGAGTTATTTTTTCCCTTTCTTCCATTCTACCTTTATAATTCTTCAGTTATTTTCTCACCTTTTCTTCCATCCTGCCTTTGTAATTCTTGAGTTATTTTTTCCCTTTCTTCCATTCTACCTTTATAATTCTTCAGTTATTTTCTCACCTTTTCTTCCATCCTGCCTTTGTAATTCTTGAGTTATTTTTTCCTTTCTTCCATTCTACCTTTTTATAATTCTTCAGTTATTTTCTCACCTTTTCTTCCATCCTGCCTTTGTAATTCTTGAGTTATTTTTTCCCTTTCTTCCATTATGCCTTTATAATTCTTCAGTTATTTTCTCACCTTTTCTTCCATCCTGCCTCTGTAATTCTTGAGTTATTTTTTCCCTTTCTTCCATTCTACCTTTATAATTCTTGAGTTATTTTCTAACCTTTTTTTTCTTTTCTATCCTTATACTTACTGAGTATCATCCATAAACTCTTTTTTTTAATTTCCTTTATTTTTACATTTCTATTTCCTTTTTCTGTAGATTATATTCATTACAACTCAAATTTATTCATCCTTTTCTTATTATTTTGTAACGTTTTTGCTTTTAGGTTTTTACACACTTTTTTTCATTTATAAAAAATGTTC